GGTACCGCATCCTGCACCGCGACATCAAGCCGGGCAACATCGGGCTCGCGGCCGGCGGGTGAGCGTGCGTGGAGCACCCCCCCTGTATGACCCTATGGAGCACCTGCATGGAACACCTCCCTGTCTCTGTACGAAGCGCCTGTGGAACACTCCCTCCCGGCCGACTGTGGCTACCTCCCTCTCCACCTCCCTCCCCCGCCCGGCTGACTGTGGCTGCCTCCCTCTCCACCTCCCTCCCCCGCCCGGCTGACTGTGGCTGCCTCCCTCTCCACCTCCCTCCCCCGCCCGGCTGACTGTGGCTGCCTCCCTCTCCACCTCCCTCCCCCGCCCAGCTGACTGCGGCTGACTCTGTGCGAAGGCGCGTCGTCCTCGCCGACTTCGGGCGCCGTCTGTTAGCTAAAGGGGGAAGAGGCCCCCCGAGATGCCCCCGAGATGACCCGAGATTGCGCCCCCCCCTCCTCCCCCCCCGCTCCCCCCCGGCATGGCGTAGGCTGCTCAAGCTGTGGAAGAGGGGCGGCGAGGCAGAGGACACGCCGCGCGCAATCACGGGCATGACGGGCGCGCTGAGGTACATGGCGCCGGAGGTTGGCTCTCTAGACACTTGCGAGACACCCCCGAGACACCTCCGAGACACCTCCGAGACACCTCCGAGATACACCTCCTCGGCTAGCTCGAGGCGCCCGAGGTTTGTCGCTTCTCTCTCTCGCCGCGGTGCAAGCGTCGAGGCTGAGGCAGATGATGACTGGCTGCCCCGAGATATGGGGAGATATGGGGAGATATGGGGAGATGCGGAGGCAGATGGTGACCGGCTGCTCCTTGCGTCGCCACAGGTCGCCCTCTCGCAGCCTTACAACCACAAGGCCATCTTCTTCTCCTCCTCCTCCTTACTCCTCGCGGACGGATAGATTCACTCCCTCCTCGGTGAATTGAATCTACAGGCGGCTCTTCTCCGCCTCCTCCTCCTCCTCCTCCTCCTCCTCCTCGCTGAGTCATCCCTCACTCGGCGAGTCGCACCGCCCAGGCGGAGGTGTTCTCCTTCACCTCGCTGCTCTACCAGCTGCTCGCGCACCAGAAGCCCTTTGCGTGGATGAACGCCGAGCAGTTCCTCGCCGAGGTGCCGGTAGGGATGGGGAGGAGAGGGGAGGGGCAGAGAGGTGCCGGCGGAGAGGGGGAGGAGAGGGGAGGAGAGGCAGAGAGGGGGAGGAGAGGGGAGCGGCAGGGAGGTGCCGGTAGGCAGGGAGGAGAGGGGAGAGGCAGGCAGGGCAACTTCGCACAGCCAGCACGGCGCTAGCGAGCCCGACCCTTTGGCGTACTCACATACTCTCCATGGCGCAGCTGCCGCGCACAGCTCTCATGGCACAGCTGCCGCGCACTAAGCTGTCACGAGACGTCGCCTCCCTCTCGGCGCAGGTTTGCCGCGGAGGCACGCGCTGCCCTTTGGGCAAGGCTTGGCCCGCCGAGCTGCGCGCTCTCATCACCGCCGGTTGGGGCCACTTGCGCCACGGCCGTCGGCTGTGTGAACGGCGTCTCTTCACGCCTCGGCTTGTCGACAGGCTGGGCCGCCGATCCGGAGTCGAGGCCCGACATCGGCAAAGTGGCCGAGTCGCTCGAGGAGCTCGCCGCAAAGCTCGGAGCGTCGGCCTCGCCGTCGACGCTGCCGCCGCGCCGGCACCGCGCCGGGATTGCATGAGGGGGCGGTCCCCCCCCCCCCCCCCCACACCCACCCCCTTGCCAAGGCTGTGCCGGTATACGCGCCCCCCCTTTTCGCTTGGGTCCTTCCCGTACGTGTTTTAAGCCAGGCCGCCCGCCCCTCCGTAGTCTTCTGATCCGCGCGAGAGCAGTGTGCCCGCGCCTATCTCGGCGATCGCCCGCGCCCTGCGCTTTATCACCTCCGCGGCCGTGACCAGCGCGCGCTATTCCCTAACCCTATTCTGCGACACGCGTCCTCGGTGTGTCGCGGCTTGGTGTTCGTGGACGTGGATCGTGTGGGCTACGTCACAAGGTCGTCAGTAGTCTCGAATGTTTCTCCTTCTACAAAAAATATCTCCTAAGTCCTATCTGCAATGTATCTCTCTGGGTCTGCAAGTCTGGGTCAGCAGGACACAATCATAGTCATAGACGCATCTTCAGCCATAATCACGGTTCAGTCACGCGGAGAGTGGCCAGTTTGGGTATAGAGCCGCACCCCCCGCGACACTCGAGACGATCTTCGGCTTTAGTAACTAACACACGAAACGCGGCGCTCTGGTGTTGGCACAGTATGGCTGTGGTCGTCCTCAGTCGGATGTGCTCGGAGCGGCTCTCGCTCTATCGCCAGCGAAACCAACCTGGCTTCTCACGCACCCTGTAGGTGACAATGTACTCTGGGTAGGCCTGCGTCAAGTCATACATGACCACCATCGTCGAGTCGCAGCTGCCCTCTCCAGCGCGTGACGGCCGGTGCGGTCCGCCCTGCACGGAGTCAAACAGCACACCCGGGCTTTGCTCCGGCGGCTTGGTCAAGTTCCGCGTCTTCTCGCTGACTAGGCTTCCAAAGTCCTTGGAGACGCCGACCGCAGCACGGAGCAGCAGCAGCTGGCGCAGCTCACGGTCTGGGTAGTCAGGGTAGAAGACATACGTGCGGTCTTCATCGCCATTGGAGTATCGCGCCTTTGCCGCAAGGTACACTCCTCGCCCGTAGAAGGCCGCACTCGAGAACCGAGGGTCGATGCCAACCTCGTGTTCCAGTGCCTTGTGAGGGTCGAGAGCGGAGGTCCCGTGCCACATTTTCTGCTCATTCGCATTGCCACCGCGCGTAAGCTCGATCCGATCCCGTTTGGAGCAGTAGTCCCTCCACAGCAGCCGATCCTCGACTCGCTCGAGACGGACAAGCTCGGCTGTCGGGAGCGACTCCTTGAGCTGGCCCTCAACCTCTGCCCACTCTGATCCGGAAGCATCAACCATGACCTACTAAAAAATCGCGAAAAAAGAAAAACTCAAAAAAATCGGCGCCTGCGGCGGGCCATGGGACCCCATCTCCCCCCCGCATGGACACCCTCTGGGGCTCCCGCGCCGGCCCAGAGTCCGTTTGTCGACCGGCCAGGTAAGAAAGGTGAGGTAAATTTCTCCACACACACAAAGTGGTGGGGCAAGGGGGGGCGACCCTCGCATCTCCACACCCGGACACGGGCAGGAGCCCCACGGCATTCAAAGTGCAAGCCCCACGGCATTCAAAGTGCAAGCGTGTCCTCCGGTAAAAAAGAAACGTGTCTCTCCTCTGCGTTCGCAGGCTGTGATGCAATACGGCTATGACGACGAGCTCTTCCAGGCGTGGAGGGACGGCGAGATACGGCGAAAGGACTTGCCGGAGAAGGTGGTGGCTATGGCTTTGGACCTTTGCGAGAGGTGGCGAGCGGAGCAAGAGCGGTGTAGGCGCGTCCACGCGGCGCAGCGGCTCTCCCGCGACCCCGGCACCTCTCATAGCCGCAGCCGTAGCCGCAGCCCCAACTCTTGCCGCTCTTCCGTGTCGGGTTGTGACGAGGGGTGAGGGGACACGGATTGAAGATCCCTCACACCAAGATCGTGCAGGGCGGGGACACATGTCCCTAAATCCCATCTCGTCTCAGAGTTTGCCCGTTTTATTTATTTATTTAGAGGGAGCGGACCGTGAGTTGAGGAAATCGAGGGACGCGACCCACTTCGCCACAGACGGTCCCGCGCCTCGCCGCTAAGACAGTGGCACGCACCGCGCAGCGGCGCGTGCCACTGTCTTTGTCCGGAGTGAAAAGTCCAACGCGCTCGTCGGTGACGGTGTCCCTCAACCTGCGCCGCGCTCGGCGAACCTCGACAGCGCTTTCGGTGGCATGCAGCTCTTTGCGACAGAAGCCTGGAGAGCAGCTCCTCTGCTGCTTACACACTCTGCACAGTTGACACAGCCTATTGTGCGGCTGCCACAGCTGTGACAGCGATGGGCTCGCCCTCACTGGCCCTCAGTCACTTGTGCTGCGGCTTGTGTGAGCGACACTGCTCGGCGACTGCCGGCACACTGTGAGACCGTGGGTGTGAGGTAAAACCACGCTACCAGCGCTTGGTCACATCGGCCCCGAGGTCAGATCCATCTACTCTGTTGATGACAAGACTTGTCTACTGGCTGGATCCGAGCAGGAGGGCCCAGCGCACAACCCCTGGTCAACTCAGGGTCCACACCCCGTATAGCGCGTTCGCGCCGTTCGGGCAACGGCACGTTCAATACACAAACGACAAGCACAAACTCCACGAGACGAACGTACTTGGGGGGCCAGACGACGTCACAGCGCCCAACCCGCGACACGGCGAGCGCCCGAGGACGTGGAGAGAGGCGGAATGGAGGAGTCGCAAGTGGTGACCCCCTCATCGCCCAACTCCACCCTCCGGCGCTGGCGGAGCACCCCCTCCCTCGCGCCTGCGCCTGCGCCGCCTGCACCGCCGCCGCCTACTCCACCGCCGCCGCCCGCCCTCCGTGATGCGCCTCCGCGCTACCCCCTGGCCGCCTCGGTCACATGCCGGCGTACGCCGGCCCGCCTCCCCCCTCGGGCACGACCCAGTCGATGTTCTGCGAGGGGCACTTGATGTCGCACGTCTTGCAGTGGATGCCTGCTCACGGCACGAGCTGTGAAGAGGCGCGGCAGGGGGCGGGCGCCGCACACAACCCCCTCGGGTGGTTGCAGTTCTGCGCGTTGATCTGCAGCCGCCGCTCTCCCTCCTCCTCCAAGTACTCATACACGCCTGTGGGTTGTGGGAGTGATCGCGTTCGCCTTTCTGGGACCGAGTGTGCCTTCCTTCCGACCTGTCGTCGCTGTCTGTCTGTGCTCGGCTCTTCTTGGGGTTGTGCCAGTGTGTGTAGAGCGTCAGGGCGCAGATACGATCTCGCGCCGTGTGGGCGGGGCACCGCGTGAGTCGAATACAGTGAGTACGAATACAGTGAGTACGAATACAGTGAGTACGACTGAACGAATGCGCCCGAAGACAGTCGAGTACGACTGACCTCGCGAGCACCAGTTGGAGGATGTTGCCGCATCTCTCTTCCGCTTCTAGGCGTGCGCGCCCGCGGGGCAGAAGCGCTGCTCCGGCCCGTCGAAGACGGCGAGGTTGCGCGCGACAGGCACCTGCTCGGGGCAATCTCGTGTCATCTCGCGCAATCTCGTGTCATCTCGCGCCATCTCGCGTCATCTCGCGCCATCTCGCGCCATCTCGTGTCATCTCGCGCACTCTCGCGCACTCTCGGCGCACCGTGTCATCCCTGAGGGCCAAGTGCGATCTCGGCTGATCTCGGCAGATCTCGGCTGATCTCGGGCTGGTCTCTGCACCGCGTCATCCTTGAGCGTCAGGTGCGATCTCGGCTGATCTCGGCAGATCTCGGCTGGTCTCTGCACCGCGTCATCCTTGAGCGTCAGGTGGGGCGGCTGGTTGCCCTCGTGGTTCGTGCCGGTGAGCGCTACCGACGAGAGGAGGTCGAAGGACACCTCGCCGTCCGGCTGGGGGAGTGGGGGGGGTGTGTGAGGAGAGGCTGGAGAGAGGGAGGGGAGGGGGAGGGGAGGGGCGGGTGATGGGAGACTCTGAGGGTTGTGGCGGGTGCGACCCCCCCCCCCCCCCCCCCTCCCCCCTTTTCCAAAGAGCGCACGCCTTAGGGTACTCGATGGGCGAGAACTCGGAGGCCGGCTTGAGCCTCTCGTGGTCGGCGCCGCCGTGCGAGAGAGTGAACCACTCTCGGCCTGGTAGTCAATTCATCATTCATAAGCAATGCTTGGCCATGGAGAGTGCGAGAGAGTGAACCACTCTCGGCCTGGTAGTCAATTCATCATTCATAAGCAATGCTTGGCCATGGAGAGTGCGAGAGAGTGAACCACTCTCGGCCTCGCGTGACGTAGTGCACGACGCCCGCGTACAGAAAGGTGCCCCACATGCCCAGCGGCGTCGCGTGCGCGGCGGGACGCACGTTGCGCACCTGCGTTTGGTGTGTCCGGATGTCTGGTACTGTCTGCGATGGTGTCTGGTGCACACGCCCTTGGTTGTGAGCGCTTATGCTGTGTTTGCTACGTTGTGTTGTCTGATCTTGTCTGGTGGTGTCTCATGCACGTTGCGCACCTGCCGCGAGGCAGCCGTGCGATCTCGTGCGATCTCGGGTGCGATCTCGTGTGATCTCAGGTTATGATCTCGTGTACCCATATCCCCCCACATCCCCCCACATCTCCCCACATCTCCCCACATCTCGTCACCGAGTGCAGCTCCTCGTACACCCACGACCCACATCTCCCCACATCTCGTGTGATCTCGTGTGATCTCGTGTGATCTCACCGAGTGCAGCTCCTCGTACACCCACGACCCCTCCAGCGCCGACTGGTACGGGCCCAGGTCCGCCACCGGACCTATTTAATTAATTAATCATTAATTAGACTAATTAATTAGACTGGTACGGGCCCAGGTCCGCCACCGGACCGGTGAAGGGGGGGGGCATCTCCTCCTCCTCCTCCGCCGCCTCCTCGGCCTCGGCGGGCTCCGGCAGCGCCTGCATCGCGAGATGTGGGTAGATGTGGGGAGATGTGGGGGAGATGCGGGGGAGATGCGGGGAGATGCGGGGAGATATGGTGTGGGCTCCGGCAGCGCCTGCATCGCGCTGAAGGCGCTCTCGGCCGCCAGCATGCCCGACTTCATCGCAGTGTGCGTCCCCTTGATCTTGGGCACCTAAAAAAGAAATCCTCGTTTCACCGGAAGATTTCTTTTTTCTCCCGGCCGCGTCTCCATCGTAGGCGCGTTGAGGAAGCCGGCGGCGCAGCCCACAAGAGCGCCGCCAGGGAAGGTGAGCTTGGGGATGCTCTGGAAGCCGCCCTCGTTCAGCGCGCGCGCGCCGTAGGCCTGCGTCGTGGAGACAGAGAGAGAGATTCGGCTCAGGGACGACGGCACTGCGCAGAGTCTTCAGAGCGCCGCGTGGAGACGAGGGGCGACGAATACAGCCGAAGAGACGGCCGAATACGGCCGAAGACGGCCGAGCACAGCGGAGTACGTGCCCTCTCGAGCGCTGGTTGGAGTGTACCATGCGGCTGCATCTAGGGTGGCGCATGCCAGCCTCTCCCCCCCCTCGAAGGTCGGCCGGATGGACGGGTGCGTCTTCCACTGCTGGAACATCTTGAAGGGGTTGAGGTAGGGGTTCGAGTAGTCGAGCGCGACGACGTACCTTTGGGTTGGGGTGCCGTGGGGGTAGGGGAGGGTGGGTTCGGGTGCCGTGGCGTGCGCGTATGTGGTAGCTTTGGCTGCTGCGACCGCTGCTGCTGCTGCTGCTGCTGCTGCTGCTGCTGCTGCTGCTGCTGCTGCTGCTGCTGCTGCTGCTGCTATTACTACTGCTGCTGCTGCTGCTGGCTGCTACACGCAGCCACCCTGTGATGACGAGCGTGTCTCCGTCGCCCTCGGACGGGTCGAGGTGGTACAGGAACGAGCCGCCCCACCTGGAGAAAAAAGAAATCTCCGTCGGCCAAACAGAAGTGTAGGCCGGCAGGAACGAGCCGCCCCACCTAGAAAAAGAAAAGCACGGATCCGCCAGCAGGAGTCCGGCCGTACGAGAGAGACGAGCGGCCACACGTGTTGTTGTCTGCCGGCCATCCGGCGGTGTGGTCGACGTGCCCCGGCCTGTGCTTCTCAGGAGAGATGCGCCAGAGCTCCTTGAGGCCGAGGCCGTACGTCTGCGGCTCGGAGCCTGAGACACAGACGGGCAGCGTCGATTGGACCTGCGGCAGCGGTACTTCTCTTCCTCTGCGGCTCGCTGCCCGCGGCGAGGCTGAACTTGTCGATGACCTCCTTGGTGAGCGAGCCTGTTCACAGCAAGGGGTGTGAAGAGACGCTGTTCACACCTGCCGTTGCACACCTCCTTTGTGAGCGAGCCGCGGCAGCCCTCCGCAAAGAGCGTCGCCTTTGCGCGCAGCTCCATCCCTCGCTCAAACGAGTCCTTTGGCGCGCCGTCCTTCGCCACGCCCACGTCGTTGGTCGCCACACCGACCACCTGTCCACAGCGCGCCGCCGTGAGCGCCAGTTTTTTTTTTTGCGACCTCGGTCTCGACGCGGCTTGCCTCGTCCGCGTCGTTGTACAGGACCTCGACGCCGCCCTGTCCGGTGTATATCTCGACGCCGAGCTCCTCCGCCTGCTCCGCCAGCCACGCGGTGAAGTTGCCGAGCCGCACCTGTTCACAGCTGGAGTGTGAAGAGGTTGAGCTCGTCGAGCGCGCCGCGGAGTCGTCGCCCAGGCGCACGATGTAGTTGCCGTGGTTGTCGGTCGGCGTGCCAGACATGATCGGCAGCGGGAGGTTGAGGCTGGGGAACCACGGGGGAATGTAGCCGAGCCGCTCGGACGTCACCGGCGTCTTGAGCGGCGCGCCGCGCTCCTCCCAGTCCGGGAAGAGCTCCTCCAGCGCGCGCGGCTCAAGCACCGCGCCCGAGAGCGTGTGCTCGCCCGCGCCTGCCGCCTTCTCGAGCAGCGTGACGCGGTAGTCAAGGCCGGCCTCGTTGCAGAGCTGCTTGAAGCGGATCGCGGCGGACAGGCCCGCCGGCCCGCCGCCCACGATCAGCAGGTCCGTCTCGTCCGCAAACCGCTCCATGTCGATATCCTGCCACCGCTCGTCGGTCGCGCGGTCAATCTTCTTGTAGTGGGTGGTGAGGACGCCCTTGGGCAGCGCCGGCGCGCAGAGTCGGCGCGTGGAGGTGATCAGCGGCGAGCGGGAGCCCAGGCGTGAAAGCATGCTGAGCGCAAGGCGATCAAGGCGAGACTTCGCCTCGTGATGACGGAACTCGATTTCTTCTTTTAGCCCACTACCCATACCTCACTTAGACCCCACACACCCACACACGGTCTCGTCCGTGCCTCGCCGGCCGGTGAGATTGCTAGAGGTGGAGCAAACTGCTCTAGCCTCACATATCACTTCCTGTCGTCTGTTGTTTGAGTTGTGCCCTTGTTTGTGCCCTTGCGGTTCGGCGACGAACGCGTGAGAGGCGGTGTGGCGCCGATGGTGGCGGCGCGGAACTCTCACGCCGTGGCGGCGCTCGGCGGCAAGCTGTACGCTGTGGGCGGCTTGAACGACGACGACGGCTACCTCAGCTCGGTGGAGCGGTACGACCCCGCGACTCGAACGCGTGGGAGGCGACTGCGCCGTTGAGACGACCGCACACGATCGCGGATCGTTTCACAAACTTTGTAAACGTTTCATGGCATCACCGTGGCGTAGGGTTTTCCGCATTCCGTGGGAGGGAGAGGAGCACCTTTCCCACCTTTTGCTTTTAGTTTTAGTTCGACCAAGACCTTTTTCCCGATCCCCCCTCATACTCTAACGTGTGGACTGTGGTGGGCGTGCGGAGCTGCGGGGCTTGGGCCCCCGCTCGGACAGCCGCGCCTTTCGATAGATAACAGATACATCACACAAAGAGAGAGGAGAAGAGAGCAAGAGCGAGAGGGGAGAGATCAAGATCGACTCGGACATGCCACATGTTGTGTGAGGAGCGGGGCAGCGGCTGTGCGCGCGACACCACACAACTCCACAGTGAAACGAGACCCGCAGGACATCAAAACAGTCACGGAGGCGGCGGTGGCTACAAAAGAACGGTGGCGGAGTCCTCCGGGTGGGGGGTGAGCGGGGTTGGCATCCCTCGCTCATGCCGACATGCAATCATGGGGGAAGGGGGGGGGGGGGCCGCGGCAGCGCTAGGCGCGCGACGGGGCGCTCGCCTGCAAACGGCCACGTCCGGCCCAACGCAACGATGGGAACCAAGCGAGAACCGCACGCAATCATTCCGCCCCGGCGCCGCACGATGCGGCCGCCACGGCAGCCGCAGCCGCAGCGGCAGCGCTCGCCGAACCGGCCAAACCGCTGCCGGCGGCGCCAAAAGCCGCGCGCGCGATGGGCACGCCGCCGCCGCCCGTCGCGTCCGCAGCAGCAGCCGCAGCCGCAGCCGCAGCCGCGTCGCCGCCGCCTTCGAGGCTCAGCTCGCACGCACCGCCCGCGCCGGACGTCCCAACCGACGGGTCGCGCAGCAGAGGCATCGCCAGCAGCTCCTGCAGCAGGAGCAGGCAGGGGGCTGAGGAGGAGCAGGCAGGGGGCTGAGGGCGGGGAGACGGGAACAACGCAACGCGTGCAGAGCGTCGCGATACTAGGAGCTACGCACACGGTGGACACGGCCACAACACAGCCGAGTGCGGCCGAGTGCGCGTGTCGACTCGAGCGCCTCCTGGAGTGTGCGGGGGCTTCTCTTGAGCATTTGGGAAGCAGCACCTCGGTCGGTGTCGTGCCGGCCCGCGAGGAGGAGAGGTCGGCGTCTTCGGCGGACGCCTCCCTGCCGCAACCTCCGTCGGCCGCGCGGGCGAGGGCCGAATCGCGCGCCGCCTCCTCGCCGTCGGCCTCAGAGGCGGGGACCTGCCTGCTCACCTGCAAACGGGTTCCGGCAGGTACGTGGGAGGGGGGAGGGAGAGGGGGGGGGGGGGGCGGGGGGGTTCACCAGGTCCATAGCGGGAGGTGGTCGTGGTGGTCGTGGTGGTGTGTGAGTGGGTGGGTGTGGGTGGGGGTGGGGGTTGGACGGAGGCGGTGAGGGCGGTGAGGGCGGCAGCGGGCGCGCCGCACCTCTGACGAGACAATCGCGTCGAGGTGCTGCAGCATCTCTTGCTGCATCGCGACGTGCTTGGTCAGCCGCTCGCGGAGCGAGTTCTTCAGAGAGAGCATCGCCTGGCAGGGTGGCGGGGAGGGGTCGATGGCGGCGGGGAGGACGGGGGTAGGCGATGGCTGGTGGGCGCAGGGGCGGCGGCGGCTCGGGGCGGCGGAGGTGAGGGTGGAGGGAGGCAACAGCGGCGGGAGGGTCGATGTCAGCGGGGCGGCGTCGGCTGGCGTCGGCTGGGGCGAGCGGCGCGCGCGGGGCGGGCGGGCTTGGGGGGTGGCGGGGGGGACGGGGTGGGTGGGCCGATGCGGGTCGGGCGAGGGCGGCGGCGTGGCGGCGGGAGTGGCATCGCCTGCCAGCGCTGCATGCCGCCTCGTGAGAAGGTCTCGAGTTGGTGCTGCAGCTGCCGCTGCATGAGGAGCTGGCGGTGCAGCTTGGTCTGCAAGTCCATCTGCACCTTGAGGTTCATCTCTTGCCGCGCGAGGTGCACGTCGAGCTCCGTCTGAGTCGAGCGGGCAAGGGGTGCGGCGTGAGCCGTGCGGAGGAGGCGGGCGCGGGCGCGGCGCGGCGCACCGGCGCCCTCGGCGAGCCAACGCTCTCGCCGTCGCCGCCGAATGAGGTGGACGGCCCCAGCGAGGGCAGCTTGCCGCTGCTGGCCCGCGAGAAGACCGACGCTTCATCGCTCCCATCGCGCTCGACCGCCGGCCGCGGCGCCGCCGCCGCTTTCCCTGGCACCGCGGCTGAGGCGGCGGCCGCCGCCGCCGCCACCAGGCCAGTGTCGGCGCTCGTCGAGGGCTCGTCCTGGTCGGCGAGGGATGCGCAGCTGGCCGAGGGGGTGAGCGTGGCCATCAAGGTCCCGGCCGACGCGCCCGCCTTGCCGCGCTTCTGCATCAGCAGCCGGTACTTTTGCAGGTGCGACTTGATGTTTTGCCGCGTCGGCGCGCCCTCGCCCTCGCACTTCATCATCTGGGAGATGGCCTGCGGCTTGGCGTGGTCGATGCCAAGGGTGTTCACCGCGGTCTCGAAGCGCCGGTGCAGCTCCGCCGTCCACACGAACCGCTGCTTGTGCACCTGCCGACCGCCCTCTGCGCTGCTGCTGCCCGCCGCCGCCGGGCTCTCGGCGCCGCCCGTCGCCTCTACCGCCATGTCGCCGCCCCAGGCGCCCACCGCCAGCCCTGGCCCCGACGGCCAGCCGGCGAGCCCCGCGGAGCTCGCTCCGCCTCCGCCGAGTCCCATCACTCCGCCGAACGGGAAGCCGCCCACGCCAAGGCCGTCCGCGGCGCTCTGCACGGCCTGCGCCTCTGTGCTGGGCTCGTCTGGCAGCGCAGGCTCGCTCGGGATGTCCTGCATGAACTGCTCGAGCACGTCCCATGAGACGAGCTCGTCGAGCGAGACCTGCGGTCCGTGCAGAGAGGGAACGGGCAGGCGTCGGTTGCGATCGGGTGGCGAGGCGAGCAGTCTCAAATTGGCGGGCTGGGAGGTCTGCGCAGCGCTGGCGCCAGAGCGGGCGCCGGCTGAGTGGAGCGGGAGAGATTCAGCGCCGAGTCATGCGCCAGGGGGCTCAGGCGTGGTGTGTGGCGGGCAGGGCGGGCGCGACGCACGTCCACGTCCCACGTCCGTGGCCTCTTGGACCCCGGCGCAGCCCGCGGCGGGATGGGCCGGCTCGTCGCCGCCATCCGTGCGCAGCCTATGGATTCGCGGGGCGCTTGTCGTCGGCACGGCCGCGTGGCGGTGGGCGGGGAGGGGGGTGCGGGGGCGGCTGGGTCGAGTGGCTCCCCTCACCGGGACAGTCGCCGGGGCCAAGATCGGCGAGACGGAGCGAAGGCTAAAGGCGTGCTGGCGAGACTGCTGTCTCCTTCGACAGAATACGCTCCGACCTTCTCACGGCAGAAGAATTACCCGATGTTCGCGATTTTCTTTCTTTTTTTTCGCCCAGCGCATTGCTTAGTGGTGCGCTCGCCTCCCTCCTGCGCGACGCTCACTGGTTGGTTAATAAAAATTTCTCTCTCTTCGAGCGCGTTCTTGTCTGTCTCGGCGCGCGCGCAGCGCGCGAAGAGGTGTGAAGAGGGGGGTCGTGTCCGGTGTGAAGGGTATCAACCTATCCTCTAGGGGCCCAATGCGGATCCTCTCAAGAGGGCATCAGGGTATAGCCTTGGGGTATGATCTCGATGGCTCCGATCCAGAGGTCTCGAAGCATTCGTTCCATGATGGCGAACTCGCTCCTGCAGGCAGTCAACATCCTTGAGAAGCAGGCTCACGAGCCCAGCGTATTTGGCTGCATCGCATCGCGCCTGCTGCATCTCGCGAGATCACCCGGCGCGCTGTGCCTCACCCTCAAGTATGCCTCTTCTGCCGACGAGCTCCGCACAGCTCTCGAGTGCCTCGCGCCGGTGTTAGACGCCTTGAGAAAGGGAACGGCCGCGTGGGAGACTCGTCACGCCTGCTTTGTCCATCTTGCCGGTCAGCAGCTCGAGATGCAGGCGAACGCTCCAATGCGCCCTCAGAGGCCAGGCGCTGCGCCGTACGGCCAACCGCTCCCGCCCTCCCTCCTGCTCAGGAAGCCGTCCGCCGCTGCTACCAGCACGCCGTCAACCCGGAGGTACTCTCGCGTGTGTGCGACGTGGCGCGCCAGATCCTGGCCAAGGCCCTCGTCAACGCGGCCGAGCTGCTGCTCGCCGTGCTCGCCATCAACGCCCGGCCGCCTGCCGCCCCCTTGCAGCCGCCCGATGGAGCCTCCCACTGCTGCTCCCCGCTCGCGTCCAGCGCCGCCGCGTCCACCTCCTCCTCCTCCTCCTCCTCCTCCGCCGAGGGCTCGCAGTCGCCGCCGCCGCCGCCGCGGCCGGCGCCGGCGCAGCCGCTGCCGCTGCCCCCTGCGCCGGAGAGCTCGGAGGAGAGCCATATCTCGGTGAAGCTTCTCCTGAGAGGAATGCAGACGCTGTCGCGTCAGCCGCCGCTACCACCAGCCCGGCACCAGCCCGAGAAGGAGCGAGCGGGTGCCGTCTGCGTGGCCTGGACTGCAGACGACGACGCGATCGTCAAGGCGGGCCTCGAGGCCGGGGAGAGCTGGGGCGACATTGCCGAGCGCCTACCCGGCCGCAGCGTCGACTCCGTCAGGAGCCGGACGAAGCGACTGGCCGACAAAAGCGCAGGCGACGCCGCCGCGCAGGTGGCCAAGGGTCGCCGTGCTACCTCGAGGAAGCGGCGCCGGGCTGATCCGGCCGAGCCCAGTGCCGAGGACGACACCGTCCCCGAGCGCGGCCCTGCCTCCTCCTCCTCCTCCTCCTCCTCCGCCGAGGGCTCGCAGTCGCCGCCGCCGCCGCCGCGGCCGGCGCCGGCGCAGCCGCAGCCGCTGCCCCCTGCGCCGGAGAGCTCGGAGGAGAGCCATATCTCGGTGAAGCTTCTCCTGAGAGGAATGCAGACGCTGTCGCGTCAGCCGCCGCTACCTACCTCGAGGAAGCGGCGCCGGGCTGATCCGGCCGAGCCCAGTGCCGAGGACGACACCGTCCCCGAGCGCGGCCCTGGCCACGCCCGCTCCGTCCGAGAGGTGCGCGCCAATCACTCTCAGAGCCAGACTCACCCTTCCCTTCCCTTGCACACAGGCTCCGATCATCGACCCAAGAGGTCAATGATTCGGTCTTCTGCGCTGCGGCGTACAGGACCAGCAGGCGGGGCCGGCACGAGGAGCTGACGACGGCGGGCAAGGTTGTGAGGCCGTAGATAGCACATTCCGTCCTCGCCCTTGCGTGTGCGCAGGAGCGGCCTGAGGAGGAGGTGAAGCGGCTGGAGCTGGAGAGGCTGCTCGCCGACTTGGAGGCCGACCCGACGGACGCGCAGAAGGAGGCGGCGCTGCGGGGCGCCATCCCGACCGGCAAAGGGCGGTTGCAGGAGCGTTTGCGGTATGTGGTGAAGGGAGCGCGAGAGGCGGTGGGGCGCGCCGAGCAGCAGCGGCGGGCGGCGCGGGTGACGCAGCTGGAGCGGCTGGTCGCCGCCTTTGAGGCTGACCCGACGGACGCGCAGAAGGAGGCGGCGCTGCGGGGCGCTCTCCCGACCGGGACTCCCCCAGCGGAGTTGCGGCCTGTGGTGCGGCTGGCGCGAGAGGCGCTGGGGCGCGCCGAGGAGCAGCAGCGGGCGGCGCGGGTGACGCAGCTGGAGCGGCTGGTCGCCGCCTTTGAGGCCGACCCGACGGCCGCCGACAAGGAGGCGGCGCTGCGGGGCGCTCTCCAGTCCGGGTATGGGAGTTACCCGGCGGAGTTGCGGCCTGTGGTGCGGCTGGCGCGAGAGGCGCTGGGGCGCGCCGAGGAGCAGCAGCGGGCGGCGCGGGTGACGCAGCTGGAGCGGCTGGTCGCCGCCTTTGAGGCCGACCCGACGGCCGCCGACAAGGAGGCGGCGCTGTGGAGCGCTCTCCCGTCCGGGTATGAGAGTTACCCGGCGGAGTTGCGGCCTGTGGTGCGGCTGGCGCGAGAGGCGCTGGGGCGCGCCGAGGAGCAGCAGCGGGCGGCGCGGCGTGAGCAGGTTCGAGTCCTGCAAGCCAGGGCGCAGCGGCGAACCTACCAGGTGCTGGCATGTGTGCGGGCGCGTGCGGCGCGTGCTGTTGCATGACACGTCGTCGGCACGTCTGTGTCAAGCCCGCACCGTTTCCCGTAGGCGGCGGACTGGAGTGCGCGCACGCTGGAGGCGCGTGCAGCGTTTTGTCCGAGACTATCGGGTGACGTGTCCATGACCCGTCCATGACACGTGCTAGGCGGTGACGGCGCTGCGCCAGCGGCTGCCGCACCTCAACTGGGGCGCGCTGGACGCGTCGGGGGTGGGGCTCGCGCCTGAGGAGGCGGCGGTGACGCGGTTGGGGATGCTGAGCGAGGCGGCCGCTGGTGCAGCAGAGACCGCCGACGGCGCTGTCATCCGGATGGGCATCGACGCGCTCTCCTCGTGTCTGCTCTCCGTGGCGTCGCTGCAGTCCATGGAGGTGCGCACGCAGCGCAACGCGGCGCACGCGGCGCTGTCGCACCTCCGCGGGCTGGTGACGGCGGAGGCGAAGGCTGTGAAGGCCGCGGTGCTGACACAGCGGCGGCGTGACCGCCAGGCTGAGAAGGCGGCGGCGGCGGCGGCGAGGGCGGCTCGCCGCGCTGAGCAGGCGGCGAAGCGGGCTCGCGAAGGCGGCTCCGTGCTCATCGAGCTCACGCCAGGGGCAGCAGGGGCGCGGCCCGTGTCGCTTACGCTGACGGCGACGGAAACTCTCGGAGAGGAGCCCAGTGTCGCACGCGCTGAGTGTTGGACGTGCAAGTAGGTGAAGCTGCCGAAGCCAAAGGCGAAGGGCCGGCCCAAGCCGTCTGCGTCAGCAGAGCGTGATCCGGACTACCGCACGCTCGCCGACGGCCGCGCCGAGCCGCCGCTCCTTTGCCGGAAGCCGACGGGCGAGAGGCTCAAGCTGTCGGACAGGCTGCTGCGGCTCATGCGCGCGTGGTACGCCCGCGGCATATTCGACGGCAACGGGAAGCCGCTCGACGCGGCCGCCAAGGCCTTTGAGCGCGCCGCCCGTCTCGAGCCGCCGTCGCTGCTCGCGAGCCACTTCTCAGCTGTGGCACCGCCGCACTGCTCGAGCCGCGTCCCGTCAGCCTACTATCCGCCGCGTCTCTTTACCCCGCCTTTTGTGATCAGGTGCTCAGCGGGACGCACGACCCCGAGGACAGCAAGGGCCCGGGCGGCAGCAACCGCTTCGCGCGGACGAAGCGCCGCAATGCTCTGGTGAGTTCTGCTGATAGCATGGCACATGCCGACGGCATGTGCCAACGCGCTCTTGGTGACCCTTCCTTGTAGGTGCCGCTCACGGTCGGGGACGCGTTCAAGACGGCGAGCGGCGCGCGCGGGCTGGTGCGTTCCGACCAGAGCGCGCGGCCGATGGCGCATTGGCGCCTCGTCAACCCCGAGTTTGCCGTCGTGCTGCGCGACCTCCTCGCCCACGACGGCGTCCCGCCCTCGGCGATCGACACATGCCTTGTAAGCCCGATGGCGTACGGCGGCCTGGCAACGGATTGCTGCCCCGCGCTTGAGCCTCTCGAGATCGCATCTCACGTGTCGCCGCACTCCAAAATAGGCGCTCGCGGACCGCGTGCGTAAGGATTCCAAGGGTGAGCACAGGGACGCGAAGAGCGGCAAGGGCACTTGGACGGTCTCTTGGGGGAGCGGGTCGAACCTCGTCGTCAAGCGGCTTCCCGAGGAGCGCTTGGCGGCGATGGGCGTCGCGCATTCGGCGTCGCGGCCCGAGGCCACTAAGGAGCTGGACAAGACGGAGCGCGGCGGCGAGTCTGCCTACCTCTCGGGCTCCTGCAATGCGACGCACGTCCACTACGTGAAGCCGCGCGGCGCGGACGCGGGCCTCACGGTCGCCTTCACAGTCGCGGTCTTTTTCACCCAGCCGCTCGGCGCGGCGCTCGGCCCGCACTTCTCCGCTGAGTAGTGCCACGTCCTGCCGCTCCTCCGCCCGGTTGTTGCTACCGGAGCCTGTGCTGCTCAGCGCACGTCAGCGCGGCGGTGCGACGTCCCTCTGAGACTCTCACTCGGAGGTCACCGTGAACTGTCTTGCAGCATATATGTCATGTTTGATGTCGGGAGATTGGAGCATATGTACGCCCCCCGGAGACTCCCGCCACCCTCCCGCCTGTCCTCTCTTGCGACCTTGCGAGAGAGAGTCTTGTCTCCGACCGCGACGTGTTTATTACCGTTTTTATCCGCGTAGGTTTTACCGATTGCAAGAAGAAAACACGACACCAAGCATGACGTGTGCACTCCAACGGACGCTCCCCACGAGTACACAACTCAGGTCAAAATTTAATACCTACTCGTCTACCTACTCGATTGGTGTACGGGCCAGGGGTAGGCTGGGACGTCCGGGATCTCGCGCCCGTGGTGGTTTTGGTCCCGCAAAAAGAAGTGGTCCCACAGTTGCTCCGCGGACACCTCCTCGTTGATCCAAGCACCTCCCCGCGACGCATTGCGCGTCTCTATCTCCGCCATCCGCTGGAGTCCAGCCTGCACGCCCCTCCTGAAGTCCTCCACTCCGCTGTGCTCTCTCCAGAAGCGCGCGAGGAAGTCGGACATCTTGCGTAGGCAGCGGTCGTTGGTGACGTACTCCGTACTGGCGCCTCCGAGCAGCTGCACGGTGACCTCAAGCGAGCTGTGAGGGCCTTCTAGAGGCCTTCCCTCCCTTGGTTGCCCGTTTTCTTTCTTTCTCTTCTTTCTAGAGCCCATGCGATTTCTTCTGCGACCTTCTAGAAACGCGTTCTCGGAGGAAGGCGCTTGAGGATGCAACGCCTCTGTCTCGCAGTTGCATGTACATGTACGGTGTCGGATGCACAAGTGTGGTGCTGCTTCCACAAGCCGGCCTTCACAGGATCCAGCTCTCGGAGCAGTGGCCGTCCAGCTGCTGTGCACCTCTGTGCACCAGAGAATTCTTTTTATTAAAAAGATATTCATTATCCCCTCTACGCTCCGACCTTCTCACCGCCTCCTCACAGAAGAAATCGCATGGGTACACTTGGAGCACTTGGAGTGCAGTCATAAGCCTCGCACCCAGGGCCGGGAGCTAAGAAGCGCAACCCAGCTGGCCAGATGCTCGAGATCGGGCTGCGGGCTCGGGCTAGAGAAGAGCCCTGACCCTGTTCCGTGTAATCGGCTTTCCCCTTGACTGCAGAATGAAGCCTCTACTCACCACGTGTTTTTCTTCTCGATGGCTGCCCGCTCGCCCGCAACCGCTCCCGCCCGGCCCTCCGCGGCGCTGCAGCGGCTCCTCTCCGAGTCCCCGCCGAGGCCGCCGCAGCGGCCGTCCGAGCTCGCCCTGATCAAGCAGACGCTCTCCGACCTCCAGCTCCACCGCGGCGGGACCGCCAACGACGAGACGCGGCAGCTCATCAGCTGGCTCTACGAAAAGGTCGGCCTGCTGCAGCGCGCCTTCCACTCGCTGTCGGACGTCCTGGTCGAGGAGGTGGACGCGCTGCGCGTGCGCGCGGGCGCACACGAGGCGCTGATGGACAGCGTCATGGCCCAGGCCGCCGAGGTTGCGCTGATCAAGCAGGAGGTGGCGCTGCTCTCGCAGGCGCACCCGGGCAGCGCCACGCTCGCATCGCAGCTTGCGTCGCAGCTCGCGGCGGCGCGCGCCGCCGAGGCCGCGCTGCGGGCCGAGATGCGATCGCTCGCCGACGAGAATGACGCACGGCGGCACGAGCAGGCGGCCTCGCGGACGGCCGCAGAGCGCGAGGCGGGCCCTGCGCCTCTCTCTCTCTCTCTCTCTCTCTCTCTCTCTCTCTCTCTCTCTCTCTCTCTCTCTCTCTCTCTCTCTCTCTCTCTCTCTCTCTCTCTCTCTCTCTCTCTCTCTCTCTCTCTCTCTCTCTCTCTCTCTCGCTCGCTCGCTCGCTCGCTCGCTCGCTCGCTCGCTCTCTCGCTCTCTCGCTCTCTCGCTCTCTCGCTCTCTCGCTCTCGCTCACACACACACACACACACACACACACACACACACACACACACACACACACACACACACACACACACACACACACACACACATGGGACGTCACGGTGCGGGACACGCATAGGCGCGCGCCGAGAGGTCGCAGCGCGCCAAGCTGGAGGAGCGGCTTCTTGCGCTCGAGCAGCGCGTGGGCGAGCAGGTGTGTCCACTCTGCCCTAGCCCTAGCCCTAGCCCTCCCCGAGCTGAACCGAGTGCGAGCAGGACGCGCGCACGGACACGCACTCACGCACTCACACGCACACACGCACGCACGCACGCACGCACACGCACACGCACACGCACGCACGCACGCACGCACGCACGCACGCACGCACGCACACGCACACTCACACGCACACACGCACGCACGCACGCACGCACGCACGCACGCACGGCCGTGAGTGGACCTGCCCTCACCCTCACCCTCACCCTCACCCTTGGCATGTCCCTTTAGGACGCGCTGCTCGAGGAGCAGGCCTCGGCGCTCAAGCGGCTGCGGTACCGTCTGCCGCAGGCGCTCGTTCCACACTGTTTGCCGAGAGCAGTCCATCCTATCCAGAGACCATTCGGCGCCGTCTGATGCAGGCGCTCGAGCCGCGCGCGGAGGAGGAGGAGCCGCCGAGGCTCGACCCCCGCTGCGGCGCCTGGCGCGAGCGCGTCCGGGACTGCTCTTGCGCAGCGGCGGACGCGGAGGGCGGGTGCTGCGGCGGTGGGCCGAGCGGCGGCGGCGGCTCCGGCGGCGGCAGCCCGAGCGGCGAGTGGCGGTGGGGCGGCGGAGAGGCGGGGCAGCGCGTGCGGCAGTACCGTGCCCCACCCTGAGCACATGCACCCCGCCCTCGACGACGGGCGCGGGACGGAGATTGGTTATGTGTGGCTTAGCGCTGCGCGCTCGAAGTGAGAAAGAAAAGAGAGAAGAATATCGGGGGCCACAAAACGTCATAGCACTAGGGGATCTCCCCCCCGGGGAGTCCTTCCTTTTTCGTTACGTTACTTTAGCCGTTTAGCGGGCTGGCGAGCCCGAGCGGCATCATCCAGCAAGAGCAACAAAAGAGGGAGGAACACCGAACACTCAACACAATCCAATACAGAATACTGAATCCACACATGTGCATGCACATGTGCGTGCATTCAAAGTGGGGGGAGGTCCGCGCTCGGCTCCAGCCTCCACAACTGTAAACTCCGTCCCCGTGGTGCGTGGATGCGGGGTGGGGTGCCTTACTTTAAAGCCGTAGTGGCACGCAGCGGCGCTGCTGTGGCGCCGAAGCGGGGGAGATGCCAGCGCCGGCGTAAAAGGCGAGCGGCCTCGGGCCAGAGGGGCGGGTCCGGAGCTTGGGCGGCACCAAGGGCGATGAGGAGGACGCCCGCATCGAAGGCGGCGGCAGCGAAGGCGGCGGCAGCAAAGGCGGCCAAGCGCGCTCACGTTCGTTGTCGCCGTCGCAGCTGGAGTCATCACTGTCCTTGCTGAGGGTGCCGGCAGCGCGAAGGACGTAGCGAAACTCGTCCTCCGCATCGGGCTGCCCAAAGGTTAGCACGCTTCCCTCACGCAGCTGGGCGCTCGCCACCTCCTCGGCCGTAGACTGCAGGACGACCGGCTCGCCACCCGGCTGCTGCACGCGGCATCCGTTCTTGCGCGAGACGTCCTCGAGCCGGGCGCTGCGGCCGTCTGCGGCGACGTGGAGCGAGGCGTGGAAACGCGAGATGCGCTGCGTATCGTGCGGGACAAGGGCAACGCCGCTCGACGCGTCGCGACCGACTGTCAGCGTGGCGCCGGGAGGCAGCGCAATCGGCGACGGCCGGCCTGCGCGAGCCCCGTTGACCCCCGCATCCAGCGCTAGCTCCAGCGGCCAGCGTGCGCTCCAACGGCTCGGCGAGGGGGACAGCGCCGGCGACGACGACTGGCTTCCGAGCCGCGAGAGCTCTGCGCTTAAGTGGTGGATGTCGCGGCTCTGCTGGCTGATGCGCGAGCGCTGCGACTGCACCCTGCTGCGCAGCTCATCAACAGTGCCGTAGACGTTTGGCTCGGTGGAGACGGAGATGTGGAGCAGGAGGCAGCACGCGTCGATCCGCGTGCCGCTGGGCGAGCGCAGGTGCAGGCAGCGGTAGCCGCAGCGGAGGGAGCCGAGCATCGCGGTCTCGTACGCCACCAGCCGCCCCTCGTCCTCCACCACCACCCGGAGGATGGTCTGGTGAGGCTCGGCCGCGAGGCAGTGGAAGGTCTCGTCAAAGGTCGGGTTGAGGCCGTTGCCCTCCGCGACCGCGGTGACGAGCCGGGTCACGCCCTGCGCCTCGGGCGGCGGCTGCGGCTCGCGCGCGATGGCGTGGAAGCCTCCGATGGCGTGCAGCTCGACGCAAACGCGCGGGCTCGACACGCTGGCGCGGGCCCCGCTGGGCGGGCGGGGGCTGTCGCTCAGATGCGAGACGAAGGCGTGGTGCGGCTCGGCGAGGAGGGGCCGGCACTCGTCCCGCGTCGGGAGCTGGTGCAGGGAGAGCACCTAAAGGCGGTGGGTCGCTCGGTGAGCTGTCCAGAGGGAGGGCCGGCGGGGCGGCACGAGCGCGCGCCCTCAGCTCCGTCCGATGCACCTCCTCCCGCGGCGGCGGCCACAGCTTCTCCCGCCCTGTCACGGAGTTGCCGCGTGATGGCCTCTGCAGGAGTGCCCTCTCCACAGAAGAGCGGCGGCCCAGGCTGCTCTCACCCGACAACAGATCACTGCCAGAGCCAAACAGCAAGCGGGACGGGGTCAAGGGGCTCCTGTTGGGCCAGCTCGTCGCCGTCCTCACCTCGGGCGCCATCAAGTGAACGGGGGGCGCGATCGCCCGATCGGGCGCACGGAGCGCCGCGGGTTTGAGTACATAGCCGCCGCTACCGCGAAACAGGGCGTCGTGGATCTGCACCGGCAGACCGAGGAGAGCGTCGTTCGTCTGCAGGTTGAGAGCCACCATCTGCACGCCCGCGCGCCAGGCCGCCTGTGGCGGGGAGGTGGGGGAGGCAGTGTTCGCTTGGCTTGCAACGAGATGCGGTGCGGGGGGTGGTGGGAGCGAGGGGGCGGGCGCGCACGAGTGGGCTGTTGTTGCTCGACCACCACCGGGTTGGAGAGGGGAAGGTTCGCACGAGCTGCGAGGCCGTGAGGGGCAGCCACCCTCCCTGCTCGCTCACCAGCCGCTCCAGCCGCTCCTCGGACAAGCTCACGATACCGCGGCGCGGCACCCTGGCGCCCGAGAGCTCGCTCGTCGGCTCCTCCGCTATCGACGAGCCGCGGTGCAGGCAGGTTGAGCTTAGAGACCCGAGGGAACACTCGGACATCTGCGTGGCCCTGCTGTCGCCGTCGCGCTTTGAGCGGAGCCAGCCCCAGACGCCCCGGTGGAGGGAGCGGCCGCTGAGCTCCTTCCAGCTCGCCATGCGGCCGAGCCGCCTGCCGCTGTCGTCCTCCACGGGCGGCGACGAACCGATGGAGGCCGTGGGCAGCGTGACGAGGTCGCGGAGGCTCTCGTCCGTGGTCACCCCTCCCTTGTCGAGCCGCATCTTGATGAGGACCTACAGTCGAGATGTGCCCGAGATATGCCCCAAGGTGTGCCCGAGACCCCCTTAGCCGCATCTTGACGCCTTCCGGTGCAGATCGCGGAGGGGCGTGCTCGCGGCGTGCTCGCTGCGGGAGAGCAGGTCGCCGAGGGTATTCACGAGCTCCTTGGCGATCTTCTTCTGCTGCTTCGCCGAGCAGTGCATCTCAATGCTCAGGATAACGGGCAGAGGGCTAGAGGTGAAGGCGTGCTCGGCGATCGCAGCGACCACCTCGCCGAAGGCTACGCTTCCGCAGAGGAGAGAGACCCCGCCCGGCATGCGGTGAGTGACGCGCGGGCCCTGGCCACACCACCGCCCAAAGGTGGTGGGGTCCCAGCAGTCGATCTCGAGGCAGCGAGTCCCCGAGAGCAGGAGGCGGCGGTACATGTCGGCAGACACGGCGGAGGTGAGCTGGTCGCCCTCGAGGAAGCTGTTGTGCGACGAGGCGATCCAGTAGCTGGTGAGCGGCTCGGTCGCGTCCTCCGTCGCGCTCCTCTGCTCGATGGCGCTGTTGCACGGCGAGAGCAGGAGGGAGGCGAACTCGTGCACCGAAATGGGCTCAGACTCGTGCACCGAGATGGGCTCTGCCTCGGACGACCCCCTCGCGCGAGGATCGAGCAAGCTCCTCAGCGCTTGCCTCGAGGCAGAGTCGCGGTGGACTGACGCGTCGCGGTGCCTCTCCTTTGACCGGAGATCACAGAGAGCGATCTTCCACTCCTCCCACAGCTGGCGCCCTCCGGCGCCCTGCTCGTTGAGGCAGAAGCGAAGCAGGTCCCTCATCTTCAGCGTCGCGCGGGACTGCTCAACGAGGGGCGCGGAGATCGTCCGCAGGAGTCTCGGCGCCTCGAGGTCTGGAGAAGCCTCGCAGCCGTCGTCATTGCAGCTGCGCTGAGTGCAAGCTGCGGTCCCGCCCCTCGAGAGCAGCTTCTCGACACACGCCTCGATGAAGGGCGTCGTGTTCCGCGTCACGTGGAGGTATGCGCGAAGCTGCGCAGCCTCGCGCGCGGCCGTCCCCCACAGCCTCTGCTCCAGCACCGAGGCCCACAGGCGCTGCTCGACAAACGGGCGCCGCTCGATGTCGGGAGGTCCCTCGGCCGGCTCCTTGTTGGCCCTGCGGCAGAGCCGCTCCCACACGACGCGAGGCGTGGCGGTAGGACGCAGGAACGGCGTCGTCCGAGCCCAGCTGCACGCCCGCCGCACCGCTCGTGCGCAGCCGACGCAGAAGCGCACGGGAGCGCACCGTGAGATGCGCCTGCGGAGCAGCGTCCACGGGTTCGTTCCGTGGGACGCGGCGATGCGCGATAGCGGCGGTACAAGCCGGCCGACGGGTAGGCAGCACAAGCACAGCATCAGGCCGACGGACGCCAGGACGCCGATGATTACCAAGAGATAGGGGGGGAGACCGTTCTCACCGTCCTCAAGAAGAAGCGGCGGGGGCGGGGTCGACGGCGGCAGTGGCGGTGGGAGCGGCGGCGGAGGCGACGCGTCAAAAGGCGGCTCGACGTTTCCGAGGTTGAAGATCACGCCGCTGCTCTCGCGCGATCCGCCGTCCCAAGTGCACGTGCCGTTGTTGAACTGCGCTACGCGTTTCTCGGAGAAGCCGCCTTGGTCGCGCAGGTTGAACAGGAGAACGTTCGCATTGCCCCTGTCGCCCTTCTCGTCGAACTGCACGCGCCCAGTAAGGCCATCAAAAGACAGACTCTTCTTGGACGCCCAGAACTGCGTGCCAAATGAGGCTGGCACTTTGCCCATCGGGGCCACCTCGCACGCCAGCAGCCCTGCCGCTATGATAGCATCGTAAGCAAACGCACCGCCATTGCGTAGCACTGTACTCGTGTGTGGATCGACGGTGCTGAAGAAGTCGCCGCGGATCTGCCAGTCGGCAGGCAAGGACGGGTTGAAGTCTCCGGGCTCAAGCGTCGCCCAGCGCTCGTTTGCGAACTTGGTCCACTGCAGGTTGCCGTCGGTCGCACCGACCGCCTTGATACTCAGGCTGCCGTTCAGCGCGGCCCGCGCCTTCTCGCTCAAATCGTCCAATTGCTCCGGCACGACGCTGTCAGCGAAGACCCAGGAGACGCCAGCTCGGAGCAGGCCGGTGTCGAGCGCAACTTCTACGATAAATTCGAGCACTGGTTTGGAAGCAAGGACTAGCACTGCCTTGGCTCCGCTCTCGCTCAGGCTGGCGACAGCGGAACGAATCGATTGCTGGCTGCTTGAGCCCTCAAAGAAGTCAGGGATATCTCTGGACAGAAACGTTAGCCCGAGGCCAAGACACGCGTCCTTCGCTGCCTCCTCGTAGGCGCGCCCGTACGTGGTCTGCATGTAGAGCACCGCCACAGTCGAGAGCCCAAGCTCGTCCTTCCAAAAGGAGCAGAGGTCTGACGCGGGAGCTAGGCTCGAGGGGATGGTCCTCATGAAGCGCGGAAAAAGAATAGGGTCGCGCAGATCGGTAGAGGTTGACCAGTACGAGATCTGCGGGATGTCGAGCGCACCGGTGATGGCCGCAGTGGTGGCGGTGACAGTGCTACGAACGGCTCCGATGACCACGTCTGTGCCAGACAAGTCTCCCAGCGCTCGGACCGACTTGGCAGCTGTGCCGCCGCTGTCGAGCAGCCGAAACTGGAGCTGCTTGTCGCACGCTCCCAAGGACCCAAGCACGGGCAGCGCAACAGCGTCTCGCGAGTTGAAGTCCGTCACTGCCGTCAAGGCGGCCGCGACGACCGCCTGCATCGGCTCTGCAAGCCAGCACGTGCCGTTGACCCACTCGGCGACGCAAGTTTCGGCCGACGTGAAGCGCGCGTCCGACTGATAGGTGAGAATGGCGAGGTTCACATTCACGGAAGCGAGCGCTGGCAGCAGTAGCGACAGCATGGATGGGGGGCGTTCAGGGCCGCCAGCGCTGCGAAAAACGCGAGCACTGTCCTGCGCCCGAGACGCTGCTCCTCGGGGAAGGGTACTTACAGACGCGGATGGCGACTCACTCGTAACACGGCTGTCCGTTTTCTTTCTTTCTTTCTTCTGGGCACTGTGAGAGAGAGTTGTTTTGTTTAAATTCTTCTGGGCACGGGACTGGCGCGCACTGGCACTAACACAGGTGCCACGAAGAAGAATTTTACAACAACCAGGCACGACATTGGGCACGGTACTGGCGCGCACTGGCACTAACACAGGTACACCAGAAGAAGAATTTTCGAATGGGGCGCACTGGCACTAACACAGGAAGTCGCGACCGGCCGTTTAGTGGCGAGCGGCGGGCGGAGCGAATCGGCTCCGTCCGTCCGTTCGTCCGGCGGGGCCCCCTAGTTCACTCGTCACCTCTCCCGCGAGCTCCCTTCTCTTTCTTTCGGGTATGGGGTCCGTGAGTGCGGGCAGCGTGCAGGCAATCACGGGCGCTATTCAGATCGCGAGACGCGTTTTCTCTGTCGGGGTGAATTCTTTTTTCCGAGCGCGCGCGGGAGGAAGCTGGTCCGAGCTGGTCAGCAATCGCGACCGCAACGCCCTGTTGTATGCCCGGACGGACGAAGGCTGGCTCAGCCGCCTCCCGGCGCGGGCACGCTTCAGCGGCGGCTACTGCTGCGCCGCTCGCGCTGCCGAAAAGAATCGAAGCGGCGGCGGAGAACGGCAAGGTCGGCGTGGTGCAGACGTGGCTCACCGGGGATGGGCGGGTTGACGCGACGTGCGTGAATCGCGGTGTGAGTGGCCGTACGCTCCTGCTGATCGCCGCCGCCCACGGTCACAAGAACTGCTGCTGAAGCGCGGCGCGGAGACGGACGCGCGCGATGGCAAAGACTGTACAGCGCTGATGGCCGCCGCCCGCTGGGGCTACGAGCAGGTGGCCGAGATGCTGCTGCGGCACGGCGCAGGAGTCAACCTGCAGGAACGCAAGCACGGCGCCACCGCGCTGATGGGCGCCGCCTGCTTCAACTGCCCCACCGTCGTGCTCCGCTTGCTGCGGGCTGGCGCAGACATGACGTTGCGCGATTCGGAGGGCAAGACGGCGCTGCAGTGGGCCAAGGAGGAGGGCCACGCTGAGTGCGTCGAGGCCTTCAGGACGTATCTCAGGGGGGTGACGGCGAGCCGGAGCAAGGCACCGCCGGCAGGCGGCGCAGGCGCGGCGATGGGTGCGAGTGCCGCGGCCTCTGCTTCGAGCGGCGAGGGTGGCAAGGAGGCGGAGCCGAGCAGCGGGGCGGTGCCAGAGGAGGTTGTGGACGCGGCTGAGGACGGCGAGGAGGCGGTGGTGCTGGCGTGGCTCGACGGCGGCGGGCGGGTCAACGCGAGGTTCCAGTTCGTCTTTTCGGGCGGCCCTGTGAGCGGCGTGACGCTGCTGATGGTCGCAATGGCCTGTGGCCACGAGGGGCTGGCCGAGGCGCTGCTCCAGCGCGGTGCGGATGTCTCGTTGCAGAACATCAAAGGCGCCACAGCGCTGAATCTCGCCGCCGTGAATGGCTTCGAGAAGGTGGTCGAGTTGGCGTTGCGGCACGGCGCGGAGATCAACCAGCAAACTGCTCTCGACAACACCGCGCTGATGGGCGCCGCCGGCAGCGGCGAAGAGAAAGCGGTCAACACGCTGATTCGGCACGGCGCGGCGATCGACCTGCAGACCAACGACGGCGACACCGCGCTGATTCTCGCCGCCTACCAAGGCCGTCCCGCCGTCGTGCGCCAGCTGCTGCGGGCAGGCGCAGACGCGACGCTGCACGCTCACGGCAACACCGCGCTGCAGTGGGCCAAGCAGGAGGGCCACACCGAGTGCGTGCGCGCCCTCGAGGAGCATGCGGCGGCGGAGAAGGCGGCGGAGAAGGCGGCGGCGGAGGCGGCGTGGGCCGCGGGAGCGGCGGAGAGGGCGGCGCAGAGGGCGGCGGAGGAGAAGGAGGCGGCGCGGCACGCCGAGGAGCTGCTGGCGGAGGTCGAGGCGGAGAAGCGCGCCAAGGGCAAGAAGGGCAAGAAGAAGAAGAAGAAGGGCGGCGCGGCGGGCGGGGCGGGGTCGTCGCAGGAGGCCGAGGAGGGTGCCGAGGCGCCGTCGGAGGCAGACGCAGCCGAGGCGGCGAAGAAGGCCGAGGAGGCGAGGCTTCTCCTGCTTCTCGAGAAGTGTCACGAGGAGAGGATGCGGTTCGGCATCACGGCGGAGACGTCGGTCGAGGGGCTGGCGGAGGCGCTGGGAGAGGCGGCGGACGAGGCGAGCGAGGAGGAGGGCGACGAGGAGACGGCGGAGGCGGCAGCGGAGGCGGCAGCGGAAGCGGCAGCGGAGGCGGCAGCGGAGGCGCGCCGGCAGGCTGAGGCGGAGGCGGCGGCTGTGGCAGCGGCAAAGGAGGAGGAGGCTGCCGCAGAGGAGGAGGAGGCGGAGGAGGCGGCAGTAGCGGCGGCCGAGGCAGCAGCGGCGGCGGCAGAGGCGGCTCTCGCCGCAGCCAAGGCGAGGCGCGCGTCAGGTGCCGCTGCGAGGGCCAGGGCGCGGGAGGCGGCCTAGCCCGCGCGCAAGGACAGCTGGCGCAGTGGCAGCCATGGGGAAGGGTCTCTCGTACTCTGGGGTGCGTTCTCTTGTGAACGGTCGTGGCTATGGGCTGGGCCCCTGCGCCGCGCGGGCGCGCGTGCAGTCCCTCGAGGCCCCGCCGGGAGCTGCTCACACAGTCGTACGAAGGGTGGGCGGTGGCGTGAGGAAGTGGCATGGCCAATGCCATAGAGTGCGACCGAGCATCTCTCAGTACTCAGACACCAGTGTGGGCGCCGGTGTGGGCCCCTCACAGACTGTGGGACGCTGCTGCTGGCTGCTGTGGCGGCGGCTCGTCTCGGCGCGCTTACAGTTACACCCGCCCCCCGCCCCCTCGCATGTGCTCCCGGGACACGGAGAAGGCTAGAGGCTACGAAATCTTTCCAGTAGCGAGTGCTGGGGTGTTATCGCGTTCGGATCCGCCTTCGTCCCCGCCCTGTGTATCCGCTTGAGCTTGAGTAGTTATGTGTGGACTGTACAGAGCTACAGACTCACAACTACAACTTGTAGTCTACACCGTGGCTTTACGTAGAGCGGTAACTACGTCAGTACACCATTGCCTTACTCGTAGATGCACACAACGAATCAGGTCGTCCTCGTGGGGTTGCGCACTATCACAAGATGCCTAGCTCCGGCAGCGACGGTGGCAACGCCGCGGCCGCCTCGGGTGTTGCGACGTCCCGCGCCACCTTCCCGGCCTCGTCCGGGATGCTCTGGCTGGCGCCGTGCCGGAGGAGCAGCTGCACGAGCAGCGGGTGGCCGCCTGCCGTGGGGGAAGGGGGAGGGGGGGGGGGGGGGGGCCCTCGGCAAAGGCGGTTTTGGGGGGCTCCCAGGGGGAGGGGGGGCAGTCGTGCAACCAAAGCATCCCCCCGGAGTTTCACCTGCGCAAACAAAATGAAGGGGGGTCTGCCCGTCTTTCCGGTGGGGGGGGGAAAAAACGGGCCCTTTTCCCCAAAAACCCCCCCGG